GGTAGTATGAACGAAAGAGCGTTTGACTTTCTTGTTACTTTTTTTCAGTTCGTGTCGAGGCCACTTTTGAAAACTTCTCGACGGCAGATAATTGCCGATGAAATATGATAGTTAAGTCTAGGGGCAGAGTCATTATGCCTTTCCGGAAACAGAATGAGACAAAGGCAGGGGTTGAATTTTTTTAGATTGTGGAAAAGTTTTGGTATGTATGTCATCTGGCTCGATTTCTGACAGGTATTTATACGAAAACGGATGAAACGATTTAACAGGAGAATCTGAGACAATCTTAACTCTAAAATGGTTCAGGTAGACTACGTTTATGACAACTTTTCCATCAAATATCGTTTCTCGGCTTATTTGGAATTGAAAATTCACAACTTTCTTTGAATTCATTAATTTTATTATTAAAATTTTTCCGTACTGACCTCCACTTTTCCTCGTCCGGGGATTGGTATTGGCCCTTCCCCAAACACGTACAAGTGAAAATCACTACGGAAAAATATCGTTCACTAATGCCATGAGTTTTTTTTTTATTCGCATGGTTGACCAGTCCTCGCCTTTGGCTCGGCCGCCAACTCCACGCGGGTAAAAATCCCCACGGCACTCGCCCCGAAATATACTATTCTAAGATCAAATTCACCAACTAAATGTTAAAACATAATAAGTTGATTGCTATCCCTTTTTGTGAAACATGGGATTATTCTTATTATGAGAGTTTCGCGGGAAAAATTTCCAAGAAACATATTTTATAGCTTACAAAATTGTCTGCAAGAGAAGTCTCTCTGCAAAGATTAAGGTGGCTCATCTATTACGCCAAAATAAATATCAAAAATAGAAAAAAATATGGATTGCGTCGATTTGATGCTAGAAAAAATTCAACAAAAGTTTCAAATGGTTTGTATACCTCGTGCATGATTCCTCGTAGGAATCTAGAGTAAACTAAAATTAAGATAACTTGATGATGTATTTATTAAGCAAATCCAATTCAAAATTTTCATGTAGCGGAATGTTTTTTATCTCAAACAGATTCCCAGGGAAGTGTATCCACCAAAGCGATGATTTTCCTGTCGTTTCTCAACAAAATTTGACAGTAGGTTTTTTCTTCCGTTAAGCAAAGTAATTAGACTCGATGACAGACGTTGACGTCCTTAAGATTGAGATATGAGTGGCACAATAATTTGCAGAGAACTCCTTCCACTTCCAGTAAAAAAAAAGACGATAGATAACGCAGGGATCACCGTGATGTTCTGCACGACTTTACAACTCTTTTTGGTGACACACACACACACACACCGACAATTGATTTTGTGCACTTGATTATTCAGCAACAAACCAGGTGCATAAGGGAAAAAGAGGATTGCGTGATGTTCGAGACATCACTGAATATGAATTATGCTGTGACAAAAGCGTGTGGGCCGTGCTCTCTCTCTTCGATCCCTCCATTCTCAAGTCCTCCTCAGTATCTATGGGAACTACGGGAACTTGGAATCACCGCTGCCGGGTGTGTTCCCGCTTATTCCCCTGACTCTCATTACTTGTCACTGATAAAAAAAAATTAGGAATAAAAAATGAGGAAAAAATAGCAAGAAGGTAAGAAAAAGCAAACTAACCAAGGGAACTAAAGAAATAACATCGCAAGTACGAAAGAGAAGCGAGAACGGGAGATAGGATTCCGCACGCAAATTTGACGTTAACGTTAAAGAAACGTTTAATTCGACGAGTCTCCCGAAATGGCACGCGATTGCCTCAAAAATGCAGGGCCACCTCTCTACTTCGGGCTTTGGAGGGAAAAAAAAATAGGGAAATTCCCAAGTAGCAGCCTTATTATTAGAACCATTACGCTGGCTGTGACAAGCAACGTTTCTGGAGGCTATTCCGATATGGAAAAATAGTCGAAACAAGATAACTCCAGGTTGAAATCGTTGGTAGACCGTGAGGTTGAAGAATTTCTTCATTTTGAAAATAATTCCATTCATTACAGACAACTATGGAATTTGAGGACTATTGATTCATCGATCAGCAATCGATCTTCGTACCACCCTCTGCATGTGGGTGCAGACTATGCGGCGATATGCTTCATTTATTCTAACTTTTCAAAGATGGTTTCTTGGTATGGAAGAGAGGTGTAAAGGGAGATGTATTTTTGAGGCTTTGCGGGGATAAAAACGGGCCAAAATTCACGAAACGTTCCTGATAACTCAATGTTGAACCTATTGAGGTGAAAATTAGGTTATACAATATAAACATAGCAGTTGAGGATTACACCGGAACAATTTTAAAATTTGATTTATATTTCAATAAAATTTTTACTTTAGCCAAATTGAATTTCTTTTATTTTGCCACTTATTACTATAGTGACTCGCAATTTTTAGTATGTTCAACCGTAAATTTTGAGCCTGGCAGATATGATCCTTGATTACTAGGGTCCCACAGTAAAAAATAATTTTATATTTTTTTAGTGTATAGAGCCATACAGGGTGAAATGGACACCCAGGTGAGATAGCGCTTGACATTCATTCTTAAACAATTTAAATGAAGAATTTTTTTTAATTTCAACCTATCACATTTTTTAATCCGTTATGCCCCCTGTGAGGTTGCCAAATGGTCATGGCTGCACTTCGAGAACTCTAATTTGAATTTAAATTCTTTTTTATACGTCACTAAAATTATCATTTTTGGTCCTTATGCAACCTTGAAATAAGTCATAATTGAATCTTTTAACTCTTTAACCTGATTCATGATTTGACTTGCCTTCTCGGTGCTGGAGTGGGGAGAGCCCAACCACACGCTACGCGGGGATCGTGGGAAAAAGCTTAGTCAGGTGAGAAGGTTAAATACTACACTGTTTATAATTTTCGTCTGAATTTTCCGTGTCAAATTCCGGAAATTTTTATCGTGTTCAAGTTCCACTGAAATTTCAGGAAATCGTGTCACTGAATAATCAAATGATCCATTGATTTTCTGTTCAAATAATCTGGAAATCAATAAAATACGTGATTTTTCAGTTCAATTATTCTGTGAAAATTCAGAAGAATCAGGAAAATTCAGGAAAAATGGCAAATTCATGTCATTTTGTTGTTGAAGATTCATGTTTCACTGAAAATCCAATCAAGCTGTGAAATTTCCATCTCACTCCCACTGAAAACTCATGAATTTCCGTGAATTCTACTTAAAACTTGAAATTTTATAACCATTTTTTCCCCAAATTCGATTCAATGTCACGCTCATGAGAATTACTATGATATCTTGCATGAAATTTCAAAAAATTTCTCATAGTGTAATAATCGGTAATTTTCAAGTTTTTTTTCCTGATTCCGTTATTCTCATTTTTTAATGAGTTGAGATAAGATGTGTTCCGCGCTTATAATCACGAAAAAGTACGACTTTACGCAATTAGAGCATAACATACTGTTTTCCATGACTTCGACTGATGAGTTGTATGGCAGCTGCAGACATGAATATTAAACCAAGTGCATGCACTTGGGGCCAAATGTGCATTCAATTCTTACCTCAAGTTTGTAAAAATTTCTCAGGAATCGTTGAGAACAGTGACGTGTTACAGGGCACCACCGGTCTGATTCCGAAAATTAAAGAGGTCCATAAGGAAAATTTTATAAAAAAATCGTGAGCGGCTGAAACCTTGATACAGCAGTCAGATTTGACGCGGACACGTCTAGGTTGTTATTCATGTGTGGGTGCGTCGACGTACCGGTATTTTGAGAATGAGGCAGTCGCCACCCAGATGTGACGCTAAGGGGTAAAAGAATGCCGCTAATTTTCTAACTTTTGACCATTTTTTTGAACAAATTTCTTGCCGAAAGTTATCGATATTTTTACAAATCGAAGCACATTAATCTACAGGAGGCGATGATGAAATGCAGTGTGCTTTGGGTTTGAAAAATATAAATAACTTTGAGCAGGAAATGTGTTTGAAAATTTCGGAGGAAAGATGGTCGTCTGGATGCAGGCAGCTTAAGATTTTTTTATTGTATGGATTGACACAATTGAATTTTTCAAAAAATATTCAAATGTTCTAGAAAATGGGAGAATTGTCTCAAATTTTCTACAAAAACGGAGAATTTTCTCGAATTTTCTACCAAAGAGGGGTCAACTCCGCGAATGAATCCCCAACGTGAAATTAAAGACGTAATAATATCAATTTGCGACAAGAGTGTGGACTAGTGATGTGTGGCTTGCGAGAGGTTTGGCAAACCTATCCTCTCCCTCTTCATACACCCACACAAATCAACTTTTCATATAAGTATTACAAAGAACATATTCAAAGTATGTAGGTATACTATGAAAATAAGAGAAATGGTGAGAACAATTTCCAATTTGCAATTTCGATTTTGGATGGGGATTCCGTTGTTTTTCACACGTGATAAAGTTGAGTTTTGCAGTGGGGATGGTAATCGGGTTTATGGTGAAAAGAGCAGCCGAAACATGACTTTGGCGAGACGAGGATGAGAGAATCCCTAACGACTCAGTGTCACGAGACAGTACCTGAAGAGGCCACGAAAAGCTACGAGCCTTCAAGGCGAGTACGCGGTATTGTTGGATCTATCCGAGGATATTTTAACGAGAAGCTAGAAGTGGGGGTACATTACCAGCAAGATAAGTGATAAGACTTATGGTCACCTTATATGACATTACCGTAAATTCTCTTACTTTTATGCTTGCAATTCTTCAAATGTCATTCTATCCCCTTCCCACTTTGTTATTGTGTTTCAGGTTTCCACCTGTATTGTTGTCTTCTCAAAACTCGTGGCATGCAAAATTAAGTTTCGCAGCACGCCATTTACGATCCTGTCTACGTTTGGAATTTAATTGGAATTCCAAGTTCACGTAGACTTCGTTTCAATGTTACATTTTCATACGTACAATGTCTGGAGATATCGCCAAATTAACCATTAATGTAATGATATCCGAAGATTTGTGTTACTGTGTTATCTTCGATTGATTTTAATTTTTTTGTTTGATTGGGTGTTTTTTTTACTCACCGGCGTATTGAGCTTGCCAAGCCAAGGCTCCGCAGAGTAAGGCAAGAGTCTTTCCACTGCCAGTTGGACTCTCCACCAAGGCGTGCTCTTCATTCCTACAGCCCTTTATCAACTGATAACATAATTGCAGTTCAAGTATCAATTTGTTTCAGATTCTAACTTTCTTGTTGCTTCGAAAAGACAGCTTTATCATCATGCAAATTTTTGATTCCCTGATTTTAGGGAGAAATTATTTGAAATGTCATGAAACGCGAAACCGAGCTATTAACTTCCAAAAAATATGTTAAATGGAATTGCGAAAATTGGACCCCGAGTCATATTTTTTCGCGAAGTATGATTATAAAATTATACTATCAACAATTCAGTAATTATGACAGAGGAATTTATAAAAAATTACGCTCGGAAATGATATTATCACGACTCTTCCAGAAACATAGGGTCTTTTATATATATATATTTTTTTTTCGTGTGCGCATTGAGGATTCGAGAATTGTTTGTACGCACGGGAACTTATGTTTATTGATAGTCGAAATTAGCTGATTAATGGAGCAAGATTACTGAGATACTAAAATTTTTATGGAAAACTCTAATTCAAAACCTCAAAAATTATCAAATCAATTCGAAATTTTGTTTATTTTTTGGCTGCACCTTTGTCTAATCGAACTTGAGAGAATGCTACTATCTTCGCGGAATATTAGAACATTTATGGATGACGCTATAGCCACATGGTGAGATCCTTTTGAAATGACGAGCCATTCCAAGTTATTTCCAAAAAAAAGACTGAATTAGGACATTCGGAAATAATAAACTAATGGAATCGTAATATTTGTTCGATCAACAAAGGAAAAATATTGAATTAATTGAATTAATCAAGTTTCTAATGCTTTTAACTCGGGGCTTTCTTCCAATTCTAACGCACCCCTTACCTTCAAGCATTTATCGAATCAAGTAATTAAAAGTATAGCCAAAAGTCGAGAATGAAAATTACGTATAAAAACGTTCAAGGATATCCAAGTACTTTGGCTACTTTTTCTCCAGTGAAATGCTTTTCGTTTTTTATAGTTGAACATCAGAGCTTTCAATTGAGTCCCATTTGACCCTAAGTTTCCGGGCATTTTACTATGATCTTATTATTTAAACTTTGCAGGTCTGAATTTTAATCTCGATATTGAACCGTTAGAGAATATTTTAAAAATGTGAAAAAAAAATAGAAAGTTTACTTTTGGAGGAAAATTCATGAAATAATAAAAAAATTGCAATTTTTAAAAATTACAAGCATTTTCTATAAATAATTTATAAACTATCAATTTTCTACCACAAAAATTATTTGTTCGGAATCGTAAAAATTTATTCATATTCAAAATTTTACCAGAAATCTATTTCATGCATAAAAAAATAAGATTTCCAGAAGTTTGAACAATTTGAATTATTTATTTATAAACACCAGATGTTTAAGAAAATAATAATTCGGTGCAAAATGTATTTTGAATGATGCTGAATATTCATGTTTTTTTTCAAAATTTTCTCCCGTAATTTAATGGACAAATTTGATGATTGAAAATGGATTTCAATCCAATGGATTCACCCCATAGTGTGGTCTGTACAAGATTATAAAAGATACTTGGACATCCTTAACTAGTAGTCTAGCTCCTCTAAAAAATTATTGAAAACATGAAAGGTATTCCATTAAAGATTCTTTGGAGATTCTTATCGATAATGATACGTGCTCGTTACATTTTTATGAATTTTGCTGATCTAGATTTGTGCTTAAAGGTTAACGAATTCAATTTTTATAGCAATAAATACTATTAAAACTAGACCACAAAGTGAAGCAACTGTCTAAATTTTTTCAATACAGCCGGAACAATAATACTGGGTAAAAATAAGAAAATAATTTGCCAGTACTTACCGCATTCATGACCGCCTTTTGCGCTGGATACGGGGTTAAAGGGAAGTCAACCTGCACCCCCGCTATCTCGAGCCTGTGGTGCATGCTGACCATGGGACTAGGTGTTCCAATATCTTCCCCAGAGCATCCACAATTGGGATCCATCTCATTACAAGCCTCAGGCATTGATGATGGACCTTCCATGATCATGTCGCCCTCATCATCGTACTCGATATTTCTTTTTTTGGTTTGAGTTTTACTCGGGCTCGGTGGAGGTCTCTTCTTAATAATTGAAGTCGAGACATGACCATCCTCACTCGATCCCCAACGGAAGAATCTTCTAGGCGCAGGTTTGGAGTTTTCCTGGGACGAGGATTGAGGATGTGCATTGACCTGGAGAGCTTGAGGACGATAAGCAAAAGACTGGAGACAAAAATCAGTCGAGGCAGTGTCTTCTGGGCTGAGTCCAATGATTTTTGGAGATGTAGATTCCACTGATGGTATATTCTCTTTTTCAAGGGAAGTAGCACCAGTATTTCCCATTGTTTCTTCATCTGAGGAGTCTGACGAGATCATAATCTGCTGAAAGTGTAATGAAGTAGTCAATTTCGGCCATTTGGTAGTGATGGGCACTGTCGCTCTGCTTTGCACCACTGGAGCTTCGAAAGAATCATCGTCTGATATTAAGTCTACGGTTTCCATTGTCTCTATTTTGGGATAATCAAGGCTTCTCTAGCTTAATCTGGGTACTTTCTGAAATAAAAATGGGTGAAATGTTACTTGAATAATTATTCAGAATTGGAGTGGCAAAGGGTTCCAAGTCAGTTTTTCCGTACACTGATAGTAATTTTTTGAAATATAAGTAACAGATGCAGTTGAATTCTCAATATTCCCAACTTGAATTCAATTTCAAACTAAATTGTTCATGGAATTCTTGATTCATCTTGGAGATTCAATAGAATGCAGTTTTTCATGATGAATGATCATTGAATTTTTAAGGATAATTTGGATTTTCAAACCTATCATGAAAATTAAGCAATACATTCCATTGAATTTTCAACAGATTGAAAATTCGGCGTATGAACATGAGAAATCAAATTTCATTGAATATTCAAGAAAATTGATTGATTTATTAATAACAAGATCAATGGAAATTGCATATAAATTGTTCGTTGTTAAAAATTTGAAGATTTTTTTACTTGAAATTTAAAGAGTAATTTTCTAACAGTGTATCTGGTTGAATGTTGGGTTATCACGAGTATTATGCTCAACTCCAGCAGAAAATGTCAGAAGATATTATTCTTTGTAAATTTCCTCAGCCTCGAAAATGCATTTTATCATTTTCTCGTGCAATCGTGTCTTTCAAAAAATTTAATTCAGTTATGAATTATATTTTTATTTATCTGAAGGCCCTCGGAAGACGGTTCATTACAAGTCCTTTTAAAATATATATAATGATGATTGAATGATTCTACTATTTTTATTATGAAGGGAGTTTGGAGAATTGAGAAAAAATGTTAATGTAATAATTAATTGATAATGTTTGAAACACACATTGTTGGAAGAAAAATAAATGGGACTGACGAATGACTCCTGTTGATTTCCGACACTATTTCCTTCCATTTTCTCAGTTTTTTGACCATGATCTATCCTGATAAATACCAAAACATTTAACTCAGAAAAATTGAAAGTCGAGAAATTATTATGAACAATTTTGTACAATGTTATGTACAGAGAGATGAATGACAATTGCCCACAAGATTAAAATAACCTCAAAAGACTGATTTCAATGTATAACTTGTACCTGATGAATAGATAGTCCGATTACAACGTTGGATACTCTCTAGGCACTATAATACGAATTCATGCAATCGTTATCTTTCTTTTGTATCGATTTTAATCATTATACACCTTTAATTATTGCGCCGGGTGTTCAATGGGTCAAAACACATGACACATGCCTGCTGTGGTGCCCGCGGTTTATTTACATCGAGTTTTCTAACGACACTGCTGCGCGCGCAAATTCTCATCCGTCAAGAACAGCACCCACGCACACACACACGCACAATGAAAATTCAAAATGTTACTGGCTAATAAATTGACATCTTTCAGCTTTTAATTTCATTGATTCATGTTTTATTACGATTTTTTCGTTTGATGGGTGAGCTTGAATTAATTGTCCTATTTTTATTTCGCCAACGCAGTCAAGAGAGACCGCACGTTCTTGCCTTGTAGTAGTTCCTTCCAACACCGTCGAGCGGCGCCATTTGCAGGTTTGTCGCTCAGTCATTCATCCATCGTTCGTTTCCAGCACGTGTGATTGTTTATGGGTGTTTTTGAACTGTGATATTCCACATACAATGCAGAGTTAAATATTTTTGACTGAAAATTTCGGTACACTTATTGAAAGTTTTTTATAAAATACTGTCGGATATAATTAAATAAGAGGCGAATTAAATGAAACAGAGTGACAATTTCATTGGAAATTTAAAAAGTTTCGTCATTTAAAATTTATAACTTGATGAAAACGTTAATGAAAGTTGTAAATTTCATTTAATGATTCCATAAACATTAATTAAAATCAGGAAAATGCAGGAAAAAGTATTCTTGAGTTTTGAATGAACCGAAAATTCAGCGCGATTCAATGCTAAATATGTATTGTTCACTGTTTTAATTAAAAATTTCAATTTTTTGCTTTCGAATGGAAGCATTTTAATCGTTCAAATTCAAGTTTTGGATTATTTGTGTTTTATCGACCCACTATGGTCCAGAAACTGCGAATATGCAATTTTTAGACCGTGTCCGTACCTGTGTGTGTGGTAAAATTTCTCTTCAATTGTTTGCTAATGGATGGATGGAATTGAATCTTTTTTTTTCAAACTTAGGTACTGTTGACCTCTATCGATTACCGTTAATTAAAATTTATTTCATCGATTAGTTTTTTCAATTTTTGAATTTTTTTGAAAATCGGTTGTCCCACATAACTAGAAAAAAATGTTATGAATTGATTGAATGATGGCTTAAAAAATTTGTTTGGATGTTCCTTTGACTAAGTTTAAAGATGAAGGCGATAGCAATAATCATTATTTTGATTTATTCGAAAATTTTCAAAAATTTTGTATTTTTTGAAAATCAGAATTCCGGGGAAATCTGTGAATATCATGATTCAAATGAATTCAATCATGGCTTGAAATGTTTATTTTAATGCTATTAAGTCGAAGTTAAAAGATGATTACGATAGTTATATTAGTTCATTTGATTTTTATGATAATTGTTGAAAATTTTGAATTGTTCATGAATTTTCCTGAAAGTGAGCTTGCTGATGGTTTCTTCACATGATGTTGCAAATCGTTCAAGCATTTGTAAATAAAATTTTTCTGTTACGGGGAGACTACTGTGAATTTTAAAAGTTGTGGGTTATTGGAGTGAGAGATAGATCTGAAAACGAATAATTAGTGCAAAAAAAAATTTGTTTTATTGTTCGTTTGCCCGAAAGCGCTTAAAATGCCAAAAGTAGTCCAGGGCCTCCAATTTTTGAACTACGAATGATTTTTTTTTCAAAACTTTCGGAAAAATATGCAGAATAACAATTATGAGCTAGTTTTTTTGAATTCACTTCTTACATAAATTTGCTTTTTTTGTATTTTTTTACACAAATAGTGAATTTTTTTATATAAAAAAAACAAAATCAACTGTGTAGGAGTCAAATTCCAAAAAACTGCCTCGTAATTGTTGTTCCACACATTTTTCCGAAAATTTTGAAAAAAAATCTTTTGTAGCTCAAAAATTGGAGGCCCTGGACTGCTTTTAGCATTTTAAGCGTTTTCGGGCAAACAAACACTAAAAAATTTTTTTTTTGCACTAATTACTCGTTTTCAGATCTATATAATCGATCTTCAACGTATGAAAAGTCTCACTCCAATAACCCACGACTTTTAAAACTCACAGTAGTTTCCCCTTAACATTTTATTGAAGGGCTAACGTGAGAGATGGAACTGTAAAAAAGACAATCGCTTGCATAGAAGAAAAGGGATCATAAGAATAATGATGCTGATAACATTCAATTAAGTTGAAAATCTAACAAAATTAGGTAAAGGGAAATCTTACTTCATTTAATAAAATGAAATAAACAATGAATTATCCGTGATAGAAGGGAATATGTGCAAAATATCCATTCGGAAGCATATTGCTAATTAATTAGCAAAAATAACTATACTATATACAAGAGCAATTTCCCACTGGTTTTCTAACAGTGTGTTTCAGTCGTGAGTCGGAAACACCAACGTTTTGTTTCTCATTGTCGCCATGAATGGGTTAGATTCTACTCTGATTCATTATGATTCTATTTCCTCCTCTTCAAAGATCTATCATTGGAAAAATCCTTAAAGACACAATAAAAGAAATCGCACATTTAGATTCGTCTCTTCAACTTTCATTCATCAGGAAGAATTATTTGAATACTATACAGAACTGTATTTTCATCTGGAATGAATGGCAACCCATTTTTTGCTGTATTAGTATTGTCAGTGAATGCGTCTACATATGGGGGACTCATCCAATTATTCAAATGATTGTAGCTTGAGAATTCGGATGTAGTTAAGGCTTCTCATATAGTTTTCTTAACATTAAGAAAAAACAACGTTTTTGTAATTTTCTTTTAACCCTAGACTGGTCACCATGCGAGGGAATTGCCGCAACACGTCGTTTTATTCACCTTGCCATCGACTGGTTGTCTGGAAAAATTTGAGAAAAATTGAATTCGTCAATTGAAGTATCTGGAAAATTCTAGTATTTTTTTTTCAATATTGTATCCTTAATTCTGGGAGAAAAAAAATTATTTCCAACAGGTGAACAATTTTTTCCCGTGTTGACTGAAATTGCCTGTTGCGCGATGTTGCTGGGAACTCGTTAAACGCGCCCGGGAAGTGGAGAGTGGATTCGGCAACGCTGGAGCCTAAATAACACGCGCGGCACTCTCCCGCGAAGATAACTAAAGTCGCATTTTCCCGTCAGGTGACCAGACTACACTGAGAGAAATTTTTTATAAAAATTATCCTACCGTTCTATAAAAGTGTATCATGAGTCATTGTTTCCTCATTTCTATCCCGAAATTTAGAAAAAATTAATATTTGATGATCAAGTTTTATTCTACGTTAGAGAAATTTTATTCTGATAAAAATAAAAATTACTGTGCCGGCGGAGTAAAAATTAATGTACCGGTAGGGTACAATTTACCAACCGTTCTAGAATTTTCGTTGTTGTCTACATTAGTATATTTCGTCACTAGGCCGAAAGAAACTTTTCTGGCGAATATGAGTTTGCAGCCCGGGCCGAAGGCGAGGGCTGCATTCATATGAGCTAGAAAAGTTTTTTTTGGCCATATGACGAACAGTATTTTTTGTTATGACGGCCGTAGGCAGAGATTCACGGACGCGGAGCGGAGCGGAGCGTCCGTGAAGCGCTGCCTCACGGCCGGAATGACAAAAAAAAATTATTGGACTGGAAGGATAAAATTTGTTATGCGTCAGGATAAAATTTCTCAAACGTAGAATAAAATTTGATCATCATATATTAATTTTTACTAAATTTCGGGATAGAAATGAGGAACCGATGACTCATGATACACTTTTATAGAACGGTAGGATAATTTTTATAAAAAATTTCTTTCCGTGTAGGCTTAATTTTATTGCTTATAAAGCTTCAATTTTTGAAATTTTTGTCAAAATAGGGTGTTTTGGAAGAGGTAACAGAACATTTTTGGGTTTTTAATATACATCCCCGCTGGAAATTCTCCACTCTTTTGATTGAGAAAGATTTTCGTTAGCTCACATCACCGGAAGTGCCTATAAATTGCCGATAAAGTTGAAAATTCCGCACTGTACTACCTGAAAAAAAAAGATTTAAAAAATGTTGAGAAAAAAATCAGGTTCTGGACAGACAAAGCAGACCCAAATTTTTGAAAATTTTCCGTGAAAAAAAAATCACTGAGACGAAGAATAGAAAAAATTTGTAATGAAAGTAGGGAAATGGAGTGCATCATAGAATTTTCAATGTTATTAGCGATTTTAGAGCCGATGAGGTAAACTTTAATTGAAACCATGTTCAATCGAAAGAAAGAAAATTTCCGTTGGAAATAAGTATTGAAAGCTGAAAATTGTTCTCCTACCTCTTCTGAAACACAAAGTGCTATCGAAAAATGAACATGGGAAAAAAATATATTATATATATTCTACATACATCCATTATTCTTTTATTTGAGAATTCCTCACATTGATAGATGAATGTATTATTATTGCATACACAGTTAAAAATTTTCTACTGAAATTTCCGATAAGAGTCTTGGAAATTTCAAATATTTCCACTGAAATTTTAAGGAATGTTGTCATTAAAAATTCATAATTTTATGGAAAACTCCGTGGAAACTGTAAATTTCAGTTTAATTATTCCGCGCAAATCATTGAAAAATCAGGAAATTTAGTCAAATTGCTCCTTAAATTCCAGATTCTTCTGAATTTCTAGGAAATTTGGCATTGAATATTCTTTTTCACTTGACAATTAATGTAAACTGTGAAACTTCCGTCTTCCTGCCGCTAAGAAATTGGCACTTTACTCAAATTTTCAGAGAAACTTGAAATTCCATTGACTTTTTTCACTGAAATCGAATTCAAGGTCTTTTTCCGGAAAATTCAGCCAAGGTTTTTCAACACTGTATGCCTTGATTAAGTCATGATTAACACCAGCGTCAAATTTTTCTTTCTTCTCTTTTTTATTATTTGATTATTATATTGTAATGGATGATTTTTTTATTATTAACACTAAAGTGATAATCACTCCGTCCATTTGAAGCGCGAGCTGGATGAAGATTTCGCATTGGGAACTTTTCATAATCCTCCGTGATTTCAGTACCAAATTTGAAAGTCATCTGTGGGTCGTTAGGGGAGATTTTTAGGGAGGTAGGATCAA